TAAACCCTAAACCCTAAATCTTTACTAGAATCATGGTGGAATAGGCCCCGCAGCCCTCCTCGTGTTATTCAGGCCCTTCATACCACCCCCAAAAAATATACTAAACGGTTTAGGGTTTAGGGTTTAGGGTTTAGGGTTTAGGGTGTAGGGTTTGGGGGTTTAGGGGTTTAGGGGTTTAGGGATTAGGGGTTTAGGAGTTTATACTAAAAAGTAAGCCTTCTAGACCCCTTCAAGAGGAATTCTTTCAAAGGAACCCTACTCTAACCGTTGGGGCTCCCATGTTGCACCTTAAACTCATGGCCAGAGCATGAACTATTGATGATGATGATGATGATGATGATGATGATATAAATATATAAATAGATAAATAGATATAAATAAATAAATAAATGAATAAATAAATAGATTATATATATATATATCCTGCATTACCTTGGGGAAACTAAACGATAGGAATTATGATATGTTCCTTATAATGGGTAATGCAGGATTTACATCATCAACCGTCGGGTACCTCATTCAGGGGCCGTTCTTCCAAGGATCCGAAAGCCCCAAGCCCCAAATCCTAGACCACTGTAATAAGGATCCAGCTAATGAGGGTTTAGGAGCCCTAAACCCTAAACCCTGAACCCTGAACCCTAAACCCTAAACCCTAAACCTTAAACCCTAAACCCTAAACCCAAAACACCAAATGAAATGCTAGGACCCATCAAGACTTGACCTTGCAGCCTTGCTGGAACCCGGATTTTTTCCCCGCGCTGGCTTTTGTGTCCGTTTCAGTTGATTCATTGCAAAAAAAGGTTTAGGGTTTAGGGTTTAGGGTTTAGGGTTTAGGGTTTAGGAAGTTATGTAAAATATAAAATAAATTCTTACATAAATTATGACATAAACTTGTAATGCAGAGCCCAACTAGTGGGTTCAGGGTTCAGGGATTTTAGTTAGGGTTTGGTGGGTTTCGGTTCAAGGTCTGGGGGTGCAGAGTTTTGGGGGTTTAGGGTTTAGAGGTTAGGGTTTGATGGCTTAGAGTTTAGAGCTTTCCTGCTGATTGGTGGTGATCCCAAAGCCGAAGCGCAAGTACTGGACAGGGCGATGGCAGCATTGCAGGAGTCCAGCAGCTTTCCAACCAGGTGCTCAACCCTAAACCCTAAACCCTTCTTCTCGGAGGTTTTGGCGCTTTTGGGTTCAGGGCTGAAGCCTGTCATTTACGAAGCTTGTGAGATTTTCGATACCTCAAACTGTACACCCTGACATCAGGTAACCTCCGGACTCTATCAATCCGCACCACTCAGGAGTACATCTTAGACTTAAGACGGATCCTGCTTATAGCTTCCCTAAACCCTAAACCCTCCGGTATACTCCTGCTTGGAGTCTGTGAGAAGTTGTGCGAGCTTTGGGGGCGTTGGATTCCCGCCCTCTTCCCTACTAGGATGGGCTCCCTAAAAACCCTAAACCCTAAACCCTAAAGTCTAGGACTCATTTTTCAGGATTTGAGGTTCAGGGTTTTTCAGGGTTCAGGGTTCACGGTTTAGGGGTTTAGGGGTTTTTGGGTGTGAGGATTCCCAGCAGTTGAGAGCTTCAGCCTTGACTTGCTTTCTATGATGCAGCTGCTTTCCTTGCTGGGTTTAGGGTTTAGGGTTGAGGGTTTAGGGTTTAGGGTTTAGGGTTTAGGGTTTAGGGTTTAGAGATGTAGAGTTTAGAGGTTTAGGGTTTAGGGTTTAGGGTTTAGGGTGGAGGGTCCTTGCTGTCACGCTGTCACATTGCACCATGGCAGTGCTGCTCCTTGCGGTGACGATGACGGCGAGCATGACCTCGATGGCCTTTGATGTGATGACGAAGGAGCTCAAGGGTTTAGGGTTTAGGGTTTAGGGTTTAGGGTTTAGGGTTTAGGGCCTCAAGCCTCAAGGCTCCGGCCATCTCCAGCAAGATGCCGGGAAGGAAGTCACGGTCATCCGAGCTTCTTCTCGCACGAGCCCTTCGAGATGGACGGCTATGCACACCGAACGAGAAGAGCCTTGACCCCCTTAGCGCCAGATCCGCTGGAGAACATGCTGTTCTTGGCCCAGGAAGCTGTACAACGATGTGAAGGCATTGTTGAGAGCCAAAGTGGATGCGGAGGAGCAATACCTGCCTTTCGGGAAGCAGTACGTGCTGCTGCTGCAAGATATGGAAAGGCCGAAGCAAGCAGCTGAAAGCCTCACAAAAGCCGCGAACAAGAAACCGGCCGACAAGCAGGCGTCCGGCAAGAAGGGCAAGGGTGCTCCAAAGGAGCAGTGAAACCCTCGCTTGTTTTGGTTCGTCGCTGCAGGGTTTTGAGGTGCGTCATACAGCCGAGCCCCGAAGCCACAAGCGGTGGATTGGGAGTCCAGGACCCAAGCGTTCTAAATTGTTGCTCTATGAGCAAAGTGCAACATCTCTCAAGCACGAACTCCTTATAAACCCTAAACCCTAAACCCCTTGCGCTTGAACTCCAGAAAGGTCTGACCATTTATGTCCCTAAACCCTGTACCCTAAACATCCCTAAACCCGCACCCCTATATTGGGTGTCAGGGTTCAGTCTTTGGGGTTTCGTGACGGTACATCTCTTACAGGTTTTTGCAAACCCTAAACCCTAAACCCTAAACCGGTGAAATTCCCGAAAGAACCGCCGAAACCCGGGTTTCCTTGCATCGGTGTTACCAAAACCTACTCAGGGTTTAGGGTTTAGGATTTAGGGTTTAGGGTTTAGGGTTTATAGGGTTTAGGGTTTATTTTGTTGGTTCTTATTATGAACCTTAATATGGGATTTATAGGGATCCTACAAAAAAGCAGGTTCTGGTGGGTTAAGGCAGACTTGGTCTTCATCCATTGCCTTCCCTACTCCCGAGATGTGGGAGCTCCTTCGGCCCGGAACGCGACAACCCTGAAGCCAAACCCCAAACTCTAAACCCTAAACCCCAAACCCTAAACCCCAAACCCTTAACCCCAAACCCCGAACCCTAAACCCCGAACCCCAAACTCTAAACCCTAAACCCCAAACCCTAAACCCCAAACCCTAAACCCCAAACCCCGAACCCTAAACCCCGAACCCCAAACTTTAAACCCTAAACCCCAAACCCTAAACCCCAAACCCTAAACCCCAAACCCCGAACTAAACCCCGAACCCCAAACCCTAAACCCTAAACCCCAAACCCTAAACCAAACGCCCCTACCCCAAAAGCCCTCGAGTAGGAGGCTGAAAAAATAGTAACCGCATCACGTCGGCTTCCCGAATATACTTATCCTGTGACGTATCTTAAATCCCAATTCTCAATGTATTACCCCAAAGCCTAAACCCCAATTCTCATCACTTAGGGGTACTTAGAAATAATTTTCAATCTTTGGTTACTATAAACCCTAAGAAGCAGCTAAAACTAGAATTTTTGCTAGGGGTCTAAGTTCAGTATAGATTATAGGCATTAGGTTGCAAGCTTCAACAGCAACCCCCACTTCTCAGTGGTTCGCGCTGGCGGACAAAGACCGATCCAAAAGCATCGGCCCGGGGACCTCGGTCTTTTTTTTGATTGGGGTTTCGGTGTTCCGCTTTGGGGGTTCACGGTTTAAGTCCCTAAACCCTAAACCCTAAACCCCTAAGCCCCTAAACCCTAAACCCTAAACTCTAAACCTCTAAACCCCTAAACGCTAAACCCTAAACCCTAAACCCCCAAACCCTAAACCCCTAAACCCTACTGTAATGGCTAGAGGGTTTCGATCTCAGCAGCTTCCGCTACGCATTCAGTGCTTAGATGAGTTGACAATGGCAACAGGCCCGGCCAGTTCGGCTCTAAAAAAAGCCCCTAAGCCCTAAATCCCTAAACCCTAAAGCCCTGAACCCTAAAGCCCTAAACCCTGAAGCCCTAAACCCCGAGCCCAGTTTTGGGGCTTCCGGGGTTGGTAACGAGCATGTCAGTTCTTCGAGTTTCCTTCTTGTTGCTTCCCTGGCTTCAGGTCATACTGGTAGAACCCCAGAGGAACTTCACAAAGCACCGATGAAACCCTGTAGAATTCAACGAGTGTTAGGGCCCTACGGTAAGGTTTGGAGCTTTGGGTTTGGGGGTTTAAACCAGAAGCCACACCCTAAGCCCTAGAGCCCAGGCCTCCAAACCCGCAGACCTAAACCCACAAACATACAAATCTTAAGGCCTACTTGGAGAGTAAGAAGTCGAGTTATAAGTACCCTAAAAGGGAACCTCATTGGGGTTGTGATATTTGTAACTTACAAAAACAACTACTTACTAAGTCTCCCGACCCTCCATTAAGCAGGCAAGGGGCTTATTGGAACACGAAATGAACCCCCAGAAGCGCATGTTAGTCGTGACCCTCAAAACCCCAAGAGATCTTTGCCTCCCAGTAGGGCTTTGGGGGTTTTAGCTTTTAGGGTTTAGGGTTTAGGGTTCAGGGGTTCAGGGTTGTTTGGAGGGTGACTATAATTATAAGGGATGCTATCAGGGTAGATTGTCGAAGGTTTCGTTAGGGTTACGAGTTTGGGGGTTCTGTTTGCTCGTTCAAGTAGGTTGCTTAGAAGACTGAATAGTAGGAAAGGGTGCCCTTTTTGCTCCTGAGATGGACTTAAAAGACGCCACGTCACTGGTACCTTTACTAATAACTCTCAGTACCACGTAGCAAGACTAGAGACATGAGTTAGTTTATGTTACCATACGTAAAAAATAGGGATTGCTATCATGTGTGTTCCATGTTCGTGGTAATTGTAAGTAGTTTCTTTGGCATCTAGAACCTGTGCAGGAACCACAAGAGCCCGTGTAGAACATTCTAGACCCGCAGAACACGACTAGTATAGGGGGTATAGGGGCACTATTTTTGGTAGGCTCCTTATTCTCATTGTAGCATAATGGGGCCCACCCTAAACCCTAAACCCTAAACCCTAAACCCTAAACCCTAAACCCTAAACCCTAAACCCTAAACCCTATTCTAACTATTAAGGCCCTATATCATGAAACCCAGGTGGTGAGGAGTTCCGGGAGCTGATGGACACGGCCGACCTTCTCGGGTTTTCGCTCCCGGAGGGGGGGGGGGTGCTTAGCTTCACCCTTCACCGGTTTAGGATTTAGGGTGTAGGGTTTAGGGTTTAGGGTTTAGGATTTAGGGTTTAGGGTTTAGGGTTTAGGGTTGATTAAACATGATTACTCTGAACCGTACACCCTAAACGCAAGAAAGCCTTAAACGGCAAGAAAACAACTATTCCCTAAGCTTCAGATACACGCCCGAAGCCGCAAATGAACGGGCACCGTGTGAAAGTCTAGCACCTTGGGGCTTGGCAGTTCTGGAAGCACTGCAACTCCGACTTCTTGCCCCAACTTGGAGGTTCATGGGTAGTTATAAGCGGGGTTATAAGTAGGGTAACTATACTTATAAACTATATTAGGGGACTTATAGCCCAACTTATAACTACCCATGAACCTCCAAGAAGGCCTTTAAACCCGCAAATTGGAAGACCTGAGCCGCTGAACTCTATAGCCGAGACCTGTTTCAAACAGAAAGTCTTTCTAAATGTCTTTCCAGTTTCGAGAATATTCAAGTCTAGGCGGTGAAGCATGACTTATGACGGGGTTATTTCGAGGGTTCTACCGGGATGTCCTGAGTTCAAGGGGGTTTCCCTAAACCCTAAACCCTAAATCCTAAACCCTAAATCCTAAACCCCTAAACCCCTAAACCCTAAACCCTAAACCCTAAAATCTAAACCCTAAACCCTTTCTTAATGTTCAGGATCCCCCGAGGCTCCTGTTGTTTAGACTTTGTGTTGCACGTCTCATGTACGTACGTACACTGTGTGAGGTGTCGTTGGGTTGGTTGACACTGTAGATAAAAACACACTCCGCAGCATAGAGAGGGCATAAACAGCTCAACAAAGGGATGTGAATGCTTCGAAAAATAGTCCACACAAGCGAATACATACACAAGTGAACAAATCGATCTGCAAGTAGGAAGCAGGCAAGTTCATGACAATGTACAACTGGATGATTGGCTCAGCAAGCACATAAGGAGATGAAGACACGTCTCAACATTAAGGCCCCGAGACCCTAAACCTCTTGTAGTAGGCCTTATAGAACCCTTTAAGGAAACATTAAAAGGAACCCCCCCCAAAAGCCTATTCTAACGATTACATGTGTCGCATCCCCAGAGCCTCCCCAAACCGTAGGCGCCAGACCCCAAACCATAAAACCCTAAATCCGAACCCTAAACCCTAAACCCTAAACCCTAAACCCTAAACCTTAAACCCCAAACCCCAAACCCTCAACTCTAAACCCTAAACCCCAAACCCTAAACCCTAAACCCTAAACCCTAAACCCTGAACTGCTCTGTTCGAACGGCCAGGTGGGCCTGCACCTGCGGGATAACGAGCTCGATCCCGAGCCCCAGGAATTTTTGGGTTTCGGGGTTGTTGCAATTTAGGGTTTAGGGTTTAAGATTTTAGGGTTTAGGGTTTAGGGGTTGAGGTTTGGGGTTTAGGGATTTAGGGTTTAGGGATTAGGGTTTCGGGGTCGTTGCAATTTAGGGTTTAGGGTTTAGGGATTGAGGGTTTAGGGTTTAGGGGTTGTTGCAATTTAGGGTTTAGGGTTTAGGGGTTGAGGGCTTGGGGGTTTAGGGGTTTAGGGGTTTAGGGTTTGGGGGTTGAGGGCTTGGGGGTTTAGGGCTTAGGGGTTTTAGGGCTTACGGTTGAAGATTTTAGGGTTCAGGGGTTTTAGATGTAAGAGCTGGAGTTCTAGCGTGGGGAGTTTGGAAGTTTAAGGGTTTGTGGATTTAGGAAGAAGGGGCTGTTGGGGTGGAGGCTTTAGGATTGAAAGCCGAATTTCAGGTTATGTAGTGCTTGGATGCGGGTGACATACACTTTTTCTTGAGGGTGTCTTGCTACAATATGTAAGAATAAGTATAGAACAATAGAAGAATGTACCCCAACACACACTTCTAGTCATCCATGCCCGCATGCCAGATTGGCTTCAGGGTTGTTGGCTTCGTGTGTTTGTTACGATTAGAAAGGGTTAGACTGATTAGAGCCTCAGAAAGGATCAATACTTGCTGGTTTTGCGGTTCTAGGTTGCTCTAGAGAGTTTACATGCCATCGCTGCGCAGCCTGGGCAACATGCGTCGCACTGGTTTGCAGTTGTTTTTTGAATTTTGACTGGTCCCCCTATCCCTACACCCTAAACCCTAAACCCTAAACCCTAAACCCTAAACCCTAAACCCTAAACCCTAAACCCTAAACCCTAAACCATAAACCCTGAATCCTGAAAGTTTTTGATTGGTCCCCCAAAGTTCGACTGCCTTGTTTTCTGAAGCTCCCCCATAGCTCTCGCATCCCAAAGCTCCTCTTCGTCGCGTTGTTGTAGAGGCTTCTTGGGGATACCCGAAGGCCCTAAACCCTAAACCCTAAACCCGTAAGCCCCTAAACCCTAAACCCTAAACCCTAAACCCCTAGACCCTAAACCCTAAACCCCAAAGCCCCTAAACCCCTAGCCCCTAAACCCCTAAACCCAAAACCCTCAACCCTCAAATGTGTGAGGGGCGTCCGCCTGGACTGAAACAGATGAACAGGGTTCAGGCTCGAGGTTCTTGGCGGCTAAGTAGGGCTGATGATATAAATCTCGAATTACATTGAGGACCCTATGCTATGGGAATAATGGTATATATATTCGTTATTATGGGTCATGCAGGATTTATATCATCAACCGGAGGGCTCATGAAGGGAGATGTGGCAAACTGCTTGTAGCACGCGAAGCCATGCTCAGGTGGAAGCTGCTCTTTGAGTATTTCGACCCGAAGAAAACGGGGGAGATTTCATACAGCGCCGCCGGCAACATTCCGCTTCCGGCTTGATTCCGGGAATGGAGCTTGAACGGATTGCTGCGGAGGGTTGAGGAAGGCTTCATCAAGCTTTCTCAGGTTATGGGCTTTTCCGATGTTCTCCATTGGGTGCTCTGTACCAGGGCCCACTCATTGTGGACCTCCGGATCCTGAACCGAATAAATATGGACACTGCACAGTGTCCTTTATCATCATCATCATCATCATCATCATCATCATCACCATCGCCATCATCATCCTCATCACAACATCTCAACATCATAGTCATCGTCATCATGAGCATCAACATCATCATCAACCTAACCATCATGATCGGCAGGCATCCCCCTCCATCTCCATCTCCTGCTTCGATGAGCTTTGATAAGATCCACCACAGTGACAAGCGTAAACACTATGTAGGAATATTCTGCGATCCATACTGCAAGCAACAACCGGCAGAAAAGTTAGTCTTGTCGCAATTCTCGAACGACTTACCACCGCAACCACAACCATCATACCCAACTACCCCCTAAACCCTAAACCCTAAACCCTAAACCCTAAACCCTAAACCCTAAACCCTAAGCTAGCCCGAAGTCGTCACTTGCCGACACGGCAGGTGACTTCACCCAGACTCTTCGGGGAGAGGCTGTCGGCTATCTTTGTTTCCTTCTGACACTTGGGGTGGGGGTTTTAGGATTTCGTTCGGTTTTAGGGATTGAGGAGCTGGGAAAAAACGATCTAGGGTGTGCCTCCTGGTTGCCAGAAGGGGTTATAGATCGTTTTCCATAGGTTCATCCTAACCCAAGACACTTCCCGTAGACACTGTGCATCCTTTGAACCCACTTGCGCTTAGACTAGGGTCCTGTTCCGTAAAAAGGTTCTTGGAGGTTTTAAGGGGTATAGGACCTCTAACCAATATCGAACTGTAAACTCCAAACCCTAAAACCCCAAAACCCTAAACCCTAAGACCTAGTGGACTTCAAACGCGCGCGTTATGGGTTTACGGCCTACGTTTCAGGATGACACCTTCGGGGCTTGGGTTCTTAGTTGTTACTTTTTTGGCTTTAGGTTTTTGAGGTTCAGGGTTCAGGGTAGTGCGCAGCAGTAGTAGTAGTAGTAGTAGTAGTAGCAGCAGCAGCAGCAGTGGTAGTAGTAGTCGTAGTAAGCAGCTAGTTAGCAAGCCTTAGTAGTCCGACCAGATGCCGCAATTTGCTGCTTCCCTGGCCTTCATGGACCAGTACCGCGGCCACTGGGGCTAGCAAGATTTATGCCATACGGGTTTCAATAGGCCTATGATACCGGGTTATAGTAAGAGTTCCTAGAGGGTCATAACCCTAAAACCCTAAACCCGAGTCATAACGGGGGGTTTCTACATTATGGTCAGGGCTTGGGGGCGAAAGTCCGTGATTTCAGGTGCACGGTGTTGGGCTAGGGGCATAGTGGGGCCGTTCGGTTTCAGGTGAGGGCTGCCGTGGAGCTGTGGCTTCCCTTAAAACCTTACCCTCAATAACCGCCAGGGTCCGGGCTTAAAGAGGGTTTGGGTTTTGGGGTTTACCCTAAACCCCAAAGCCTAAACCCCCCCAAAAATGCCCACGCCCAGAGCCTCTGAAGCTAAACCGGAAACCCTCAAAGCTAAGAGAGGTGTCGGATCCATTAGTAATAGCAGTCCGTTACACTCCCTAATAAGAACAGTATACTTCACCACCAAAAGCATTGCTCTAAAAAACATTTAAGACCCCTGTATCGCGAGAGAAAGCCTGAACCTTACGGGGAAGATCATGAGACCTACTGCTGATGATATAAATCCTGCATTACCTTCAGGACCCTGGGCTATAGGAATCATGGTATATTCCCGCCTCGATTACTCTAAACCCTAAACCCTAAACCCAAAACCCTAAACCCTAAACCCTAAACCAGTAGAGTCGAAGCTCAGGTCACTACCCATCCAACATGGCGTCCCTGCGGCGGGTGATGCCGAGATTTGACCCCGAGGCCGGGTTTTGGGTTTGGGGCCCCTAAACCCTAAACCCTCACGGTTTAGGGTTTAGGGTTTAGGGTTTAGGGGTTTAGGGCTTAGTGTCATTTTGGGTTAAGGTTTCAGGGTTTAGTGTCATTTTGGGTTAAGGGAGTAGGGTTTAGTGTCATTTAGGGTTTAGGGTTTAGGGTTCAGTGTCATTTAGGGTTC